GGTCGTAAAGGAAATTCAAGCGCAAACTACTTCAAAGAAATTTCCGTTATTCTAAGAACCCCTCCACGAACGTGTACCATAAAGAACCACGTGTACTATAAACAGAAGCATTTAACGAACCACCTTCAGAAAATAGGAGCTAAACAAAGCAACAGGAAAGAGAACTATCGAGGAGAAAACGCGAGTGGCAGAATCCCCTGAGAGGCGGGTTCGAACTGCTCGGCCCCGGGGCAGGAGAGGGGCCGCGCCCTCGCCCTCGCCGATCGCCCTCCGCCCGCGCCTCAGCGCTCCGCTCGGCCGCGCACCGCCTCTTCCATGTCGGGGTCGGCGCTTAATATTCTCCTGGCCGTGTCCGCGATAATTGTGCTCCCGTCATTATCTTTATAGCCCGATGTAAATAATTAGTTCTAATCGAGCTGCCGCCGCCGCGGGCGCGGGGCAGGGCGGGGCGGCTACGTGAGAGGATGCCAGCGCCCGTCGCTGCCGCCACCTCCTTACACGCGGCGGAAGAGGTGGGTGGGGAGGCGGTGCAAGCACTGCCTCCACGCACCCGCGGAGGCCAATCGACCACGAGCAACACGTGGCCAACGATATAATCGCACGCAAAAACACGCCCCCGCAAAGGAAAAAAAAGTCACCCGTATAGGCGGGGACTGAGGTTTGATGACGGATTCTAAACAGGTGATAATAAAAGTTGGGAAGATCACATTACGCCAATCGCATTGTCCAGCAATAAAATTTACATATTTTTCGCGTTTCGTATGAACGTCTCTTGCCCTAGACACGTACGTTCTAGAAAACGGCAAACAGAAAAACGTAGGTGCTTCCGTTCCAGATGGCGACAAGGGAGAAAGGGCGGTTCTCGCGCCTAGACCGCGATAGAGTCCACTTTGCCCACCCCTGGCCGCGGGCAGGGCCTCAGCGAGGGTCAATTGACTCCCCCGCGGACCCACGTCCGCGAGGGCCGCGAGGTAATTAGGCCAGGGCCATAATCGATTTCCGCAGCGGCAACGCTCTCCGGCTCGAGGAGACGACGGCGGCCGCCGCAAGAAACACAAACAACAAAACCGGGCGGAGACCCGCAATGATGCGGGGGCTCATTTTAATAAATGAGAACACGCGCACTCTGCAACGAGACAAGGCACCGGAGCAGGCGCGACCGCTCGGTTAATAAACGTAACGAGGCGGTGGGACGCGGCGTGCATATTCCGCACAGCGACCCCCGCAAGAAAGGCGAGACCGGAGAGAGGTAGTGTTGGGGCAGGAAGGAGCTCTGGGCGGCACCCACGCGAAGGTAACGCTTTAGAGAATCTACTGTCGCCCTTGCAATCTTACATTTCGCAAGTTTTGTGATAAATCTACTAAATAGAAACAGAGAGAAAACTATCTGTTTGCAGCCGACGTTTGAGTTTCGTATGCTGCATATCGATAATAATGAAAAAACGTCCTCAAATGGGTATTTAGTTAGCTGCAGTTACATGGACGTTTACAATCACACTCCATACTCAATTAACAGCCTGGCCACTCATTTATCGTAACAAATTTCCCTGGCCTTCCTCAATTTTCCACAAAACTTTTTAAACCAATTTTTCACTGATAAGATTTGTGGAGTATTTCGCACTATTTAAAGAAAATATTAAAGGAAGCCTGAATCTAGCTGATTTCGCCGTGATAAATAAGAAATTAAAACAAAACTGAACAATTGGATATTGAACAACAAGTAATGCCATACTATATTGTTAGGAATAGTACACAATTTTGTAACCATCACAACGTTTCCCCTGCCTTCTAACCATTCTTTCACAATTCCCTGATTTTTCCAGAGCAATGAAATTCCCTGATTTTTTTCGCGGTTTTCAAATTTTCACACAAAGAGGCCACCCTGATTCACGTAACCAGCAAAAACGTCAATATATTTACCCGTTTCCATAAAACACATTCATTCCAACGCCGCAACCGTCGTTGGGAGTTTGAACTACATTTTTCTCCGTGTAAAAAAAAAACAAAACAACAACAACAACCGTAAAACGCTCATTTACCGCGTGCATCTTGTGGTGAAGTCGCACGCCCCCTCGCAGCAGCTGAGCCCGCTTCGCCACGCTTCGCACCCCCGAGGCGACGCGCTCTCACACGCGCATGCGCAAAACACACGCGTGGTTCCGCCGCCGACGCAGAAGAGCAACTCCAAATAGCGACGCCTCTCGCATCGAGGGATCGCGTGAAATGCTGCAGGCCAATCTCCACGCGGAGCCTTATGAAATCGCGCGTCTACGATAGTCCGTCATGCAAGTTATGCGTTTTAATTCGCGGCAGTTTTTATTAGCCTATTTATCTTACTGAATTGCCGAAACAACCTCCTTTTTATACGCAAAAATAACTTGTCACTCACCAAAAAAACTTTAGTTTCCTTTTTCAACTTCTATACATACTATTACTTTATTCAAAGAGCCGCTTTAATAAGAAGAGCTGTAATTGCGAAAAAAGAGAAAAAAGATCGGCGGTGGCGGTGGGGGCGATGTATCTTGCGCGCGTCAGCCGTGGGAAAAATCAGAGAAAGCAGCGCCGGTCGCAGTGCGACTGCGCAGAGGGAACGAGGCCCATGCACGACCACAGTGATAGGAATTATCTCAGAACAAAGGCAAATGCTTCTTACTAGAGCGCCATGTACTTTGCGACCCAACGTTGCAATCTCACAATGGCATTGGCCAAAAACACTTAAATTGCATTACTTATAACCTGGAAAGTCAAGACGTTCACTCTGCCTCGGCTCACATGTTTTTGTATGTATTTCACTTCGGGAGTAAAAAGCTCTGACGACAATACAGCTTAACATAACCACAATGCCACTAAAAATGCCATTAAAAATTCCCTAAAAACGGAGATGTATTGAATTGTTTGTAAACTAATAACGGTCTTGCTTGATAAGTAGATTAAAAAAACACTTATTTTAATAATAAAGAGCTGAAACTGTGAGTTAATCACCACTGAAGCCAGCCCAGCTGCGGTAATTGCCAACCTTAATCTTCGAGCCCAATCAACTACGTCCACGTGACACACAATCTTTGACCTATTCCGGGGGAAAGGCAAAATTGAACAATTGAAGGGTCAATGTCAACATTACATTAATACACGGTTTCCGGCTAATCATAGTGTTTTTCAGAGGCGAATGAAGCCTTAGTTACTAGCTATGAAGTGATCGTTTTCGAGGTTAATTGGAGATGACTTCACAGGTTGACACACAAGACTGCGCGTGGGCCACAAATCTCGACTAACCAATAAGAGAGGAGCAAGAAAAACAACGGAGCAGTTTCAGCAATAACAGTGGCTATCACAGTCGCGTAAATTCCTAGTTGGATTTGAAGATTATTCAATTCTTAAACATTACGTCTAGAATGAAAACATACTAGGGTTAGCACTTAGGAATACGCTGGTATGAAACATGTACAGTGTAGATCAGTGGTCGTCAACCTCTTGACAAAAGGGTAATTTTCTTTTTGGTGAAACACTAGTGGACCGCAATAATAACAAAATCATTTAACACTTACGTAACAAATATATTTAAAATACACAGTAAGCGTAGGGACTACTTAATATCATAGAGGCTAGACCTATGTTAAGTGTTATTATTATGTTACTATTTTGCCTTCCACTTTTTATTGTTAATTATAACACAAATCACAAGATCATTCTCGAATTTATTATTTACTAAAATAGGCACTTGTCTGCGGGCCACCAGAAATGAATCCACGGGCAGCGGATTGAAGACCCCTGGTGCGTGTTATGCATTTGAATGATCCGGCGTCGCAAATAAACAACGCAACTGCGACACTAAGAAAGAAAAGGTAACATAATCCCCCCGGAGCCAAAACGTCGGTCCGAAGTAATGACTCCACGATCCCATAATCTCCACGCCCAGCCTGCTCTCCGCGGTTCAATTAACGGGCCCGACATCGCGACCGGACAAGCGCGTTTTTCTCGGCGCCCAGCGCGCGGAGGCCCGTGGGAGACGGCGGCGGCGGCGGCCGGAGCGGGTTTGGGCGGATGCCGGCCGGTCGCAGCCCCCTCCACCCCCCCGTGACGTCACGCGCCGAGCTTCGCATCGCATCGCGTCGCCTTGCTCAGCCCGATTGCCCCAAAATCGCTGCGCTCCCACCCGCACGCCTACTACACCCGGTGGTGCGATTCCGCGGGCAGCGCGCAGCGCGGCGTTCTTTTGTTCCGCCGGCAGCCGCCGGCCGCGCCACCCAGCGGTTTGTCTTCGCCGACGCTGATCGATTGGGGCTTCTCTCGGAATCCAATTCCGTGGTAAGGCAGGTTCGGAACGTTTGACTGGAATGCTCTTTCGCGAATTGGTTTGTATCGGCATCTTTAGATTTCAGAGGTTACTAACAGCCGTTGGGATCACAAGCGATCCTAAATAATTACACAAAATTAACAATTTAACGATTCCAAACACGATACTTTAAGTGATCGACGTAATCAAAGAACGGCATAGGCACCAATTATAGCGAAAAATAAATGTTAAAACGTATAGAATTTAAGGAAGTGAAGGTAAACCAAACATACTACGAACTCTGAACATACAAGTTCTAATGGAAAACTGGTCAGTTTACTATTTCTTTTTTGTTCTACGAAGAGATATAAATAATATAAGACCCATTCCTATCTTTAAAAGAAAGTGAACGATTTTCACAATGCAAAATGTCTGTTAATGGTAAAAAAATTGGGAACTTATCTGAAATCGCATACTACATCAGACGTAATACATCTGTATTCGCAGACCGACGGTTCGTACGTTTTGGCCAAATTGAGTTAAATGCTGTAACTACAAGTTTTACTAAAACCTAATTCTTCTTTAGTAAAACATACCACTAACACAATCAATCATAGTGTTACCCATATTATTAATATCTATAGTGGTCGCTAATGACCTACCTGTTGATGCGACCTTAAATAAAACCTAAAAGCAAACCGCAATGTCAATGCAAAGCTGTACTCACTTGTAGGAGCCGTGGGTGTTGTAGCACTTGCCGTGCTTGCAGGGGTCGCTGTCGCACTCCACCACGTCCTCGTTGCACGTGCGGCCGGTGAAGCCGGGCGGGCACGTGCACTTGAAGGCGTCGCCCATGGACGCGCACTCGCCCCCGTTGCGGCACGGCTGCGACGCGCAGTGGTTCTGCAGCTCGCAGTGCTGGCCTGCGGGCCAACAAGCCGAATTGTGTTGTTCCCCATCACATTTCCATGTTGGGCACGGCTCAATCGTTAAATGTTCTTGCCGATTCCGTCATGGACATGCAAGCATCTGATACCATAAACTTTCAAGAAGGTGTGTGTGTGTGTGTGTGTGTGTGT